CCGAAGAGTAGTCTGTACCAAGAAAGCGAATCGAGCGGTTAACAAACGGTGAAGATAAATTAAGCGTTAGTTACTGAGTGGTGTAAATAAATTAGTTGTGATAGTGAAGTATTGTTAAAATAAATTTGTTTAAGACAGTCAATTCTTTAATTCGTTACAATAGGAATGTTATCACATTTACTGCAACAGGCTCTAAATTTTATTCAGGGTATGCATTTGTATATATGTGTATTGGTATCGCTGCGATCATTCCATACTGTTATCAATAAAGCTATTTCATGTGCTGATTCCTGTTTAAGGATAGCTGCCTATATTATAACTTCATTGCATTATACTATTATTACAAAAACGTGTAATATGATGAATAACACAAAGTCTCTATACCTAATAGAGAGGTGACAGTGTTTTATGTTGGTGAAATTTTACTCTTTCATTCAGTTTATCTAGGAATCCTGTGAATAATATCTGATTCCATTCCATAAGGAATGTTTTGAATACAAACTAAGTAGAGAAAGGTGTTTTCATATAATTTAGTGTTCATATGAAAATATTTGTTAGAAAGTACCTATTTTTCTTTCTTGTAATTCATGTTTATATGAAAGTAGCTGTTTCAGGAGGGCTTCTCCTTCCAGTTTGTGTCTGAAAGTTACTCTATGTATAGAGTTACTTCTTTCTTTCCCAAAAAATCAATAGAGACTTCTTAAATACCACATTTTTTTGTGAATATAATTGAAAATGAACTTACAAAATTCACAGAGTAATTCTGAGCAACAAAATCCAAGTAATTACAACTTAGTTTTGTGCTGTTACATCCAAATACTTGTCTGCATTGTTCTTCTGGAAAGTTGATCTCATTATTAACTACCGATATTTTGAGTCCAAAGGGTTCATGTCCGATCGAAAGACAGAATAGTATGGCTTGACCTAAAAAATCAGTGGTGAGACAACAATGAAAAGAGTTATAGTGTTTTGTGGTAATCCTTACCTACTGGAAGACCAATGATGAACAACATTACTGGAATATTTCTCCACATCCAAAGAAAGTTTTTCCAAACAAGAGCTCGCATGTGATTTATTTTCAAAATTTTAAAGTAATCTCCTATTGGTGTATGAGGTTTATCCTCTGGAGGTAAGTCTGTTTGAATAAATTCGACTGATGGTTCCGGAGCGATAGATACTCGTCCTGTGAACAATAAAACTGATATTAACAAAATTTATTCTCACTGAATTCATTCAAGTGATTTCGAATGGCGAAATATATTAAATTGAAAATTTCTGAATCAATTATGCTGGAATCCTCATATTCTTTGAATGAATAACAATAGGCTTGTGGTTTTACTGATAATGATGAATGCTGTGTCACTATTTTTCGGGTTTGAAGGCCGTGGATTTTTGAAATTTCTTCCTGACGTTTCGCTGGCGCGAGTGACTAGCTTAACTCAGAATGTATAAACTTGTAAGGAAGCCAGCCACACGCGCCAGCGAAACGTCAGAAAGGAATTCCAAAAATCCGCTACCTTCAAACCTGAAAAATTGTGACACTGAAAATTATCTTTCATCACTGTTCCTCTATGCCTTTGAATTTATGTATTTTGTATCAGCATTGCACCCGTGCGAAGCCGAGTGAGTCGCTAGTTATANGGTCAAGTCAATCGCACTTGATGTATTTCCTTGTTCGGTTTTTCCAGCCATGGCATTTATCGTATTCACATCATCGCAACACTTTTCGTCAACTAACAAAATGTTTTTCAGTTACTTCAAACAGGTTGGATGGGATATTGATTCACAATTTACACATCTTAGACCAGATTGTGATATTTTCTTGAACCTTTCGCATGTTTTATTTGAGGAAGTCACTGATGCACCTTATGCCGGCGCCAATGCGAGCATTTATCGAGCATTCATCAATATTCATCCAAGCCAGCATTCTGTTTTCTTCAGAACTCAAAATCTGAACTATCACATGCATAAAACTGCTCTTCGTTGAAGCTATACTTATATTATATCTTTTATATTATTCTCAACCAATACTAATGAAAAAATGGTGAAAATACAGGTCAATTTAAAAAAATATAGAGACAAAAATACGAATTATTTTGTTATGAATGTGAATAGCTTATAAAGAAATGGAAAGGAAAACAACAATAGAGAATATTCCAAAAAAATTATTGCAATAACAAAAGAAAAAGAGGAACACCGGAAAAGGAATATTTGTTTTATGGTGATAACACTAAACCACTTCTTATTGCAGAAGAACTTACTACTTGCTCTGCTGGTCATAGAAATATTATCCCCAAATTCGCCAGATATTTCTCCGACTTCATCATCTAATACAGCAGCGTCATTGATAGCTCCGCCAGGCAACTCGGGAACACGTATTGATTCCGTTACGCCTTGTAGTATGCTGGATCGCCGTCTCTTCCCCATATTTTGTATTACACTAAGTTTAAGAAATACATCCTCCAAGCTTTCGGCACTGAATTGAGAAATTAGTCGTTCTGGAGACTCTTCTGCCAAAAAGTAACCCCCACGCATGAGTCCAATCTAACGAAAAAAAAAAGAATTATTATAAATTCAAATTTATTATATTTCTGTACACTACTCTGTACTGTACAATATTCCAGTTAATAATATTTTGAACACCTTGTATGAGTCAAACTAAATCTAAGATATATAAATCTCAAAAAAATATTTTGAATGAATGGTCGCCGAAAAACAACTATTTACCCGATTAATACCACGATTGACATTGAATTATATCCGAAAGACATTTAGGCAAGTTTCCTTACTGAGGAAATCCTTGTAGATTTCTCGTTCGCCCAGCAACAGGACCACGCTGAAATTATTCGAGTACATCACACACAGACCGGTTTCTGGTCTCCTCAGTGCAGGAAAGATACAACTCAAAAAACATGTCTTCGAAACCTTCGTCAGAGAGAAAGATGTATTAACGAGTAACAACTCCACCTCGTGAACGAAGCACTTTAACGGAAATCAAAATAAGTGTGATGACTGTATCGTGGAAATTTCAAAACACGTTGATCGTGCTGGTAGCCAGAAAAGTACTTGTTTTCCGACAGGCATTTACCAGATCCTACACTATAGAAAATTTGGGAGAAGTGAATGTTTTGAAATTTCATTTTGACGACAGTTTTCACAGTCTGAGAATGAGTGGATGAATACATTTTTAATGAAGAAAGGTTGGTTAGGTAACAGGATCAATGTTTTATTATCGTGTTGTAACACTGCTATATTCTAAACCGTAACAGATACGAAGAAGATTAAATGGGGGAAAAGGTAACTGTCATCGGTAACAATACAATGATCGAAGAAAATTTGCGGGAACTTTCGCCCTTCTCAAATTATACGGAGAAAACCAAAAATGCTGTTTTTCGTTTCTTCGAATGGAATTGTTATTTCGGAGAATATGAAAAAATGGAAAGAGAAAATGTTATTGTATTCGAAGAGTACTATGACNGGGTGCTTTGTTCACTCACTCGAATTGACTGCCGTGTTGGTCGGTGGTTCAAGCCCTAGTCTGAACGATCGATTTTCACTTGCTATCGTCCAACCCGTGTTAGGAATCACACGTTAAAAGGTAAGACCTCGTTAATCCTTAGATCGCACAAGTTTCGACTTCTGAAGGTTGTCGTTCGTAGGGGTGCGACAGCTGGTTAATTTTATCGAATATTTATTATTATATCGTCATAGTACACTTGAAATATAATGACATTTTCCTTTTCCATTTTTTGATATTCTCCGAAATAACAATTCAATTCGAAAAAAAAAACAGCATTTTTTGTTTTCCCCATATACCTGGAGAAGGGCGAGAGTCCCCGTAAATTTTCTTCGACCATTGTATTGTGCACGATGACAGTTACCCTTTTTCCCATTTAATCGTCTTCGTATCTTTTGAGGTTAAGAATATAGCAATGTTACCACATGGTAAAAGAAACGGCCTGTATTACTGTTTTAAAAACCATCAGACATATTAGATACATATTGAAAAACATAAAATAACATTGCAACAAACAAACTTCCGAGAAAACACCAACACAAAACTATATGAAACAAACGAAACATTTGTTGATTGAAAGGAACACGATCGTCATTTAATAATTATGATTACGTTTTGATCATCTTATATGTTGTCAAAATATATGAAGTATCCTGAATTGAATAGTTCATTTGTTAAGGATACTAATATCACGATATAATATTGCACTCAAGAGAGAAACTACTTAATTAACGTTAAGCGATATCAAAAACCATAGTAGAACACGTATATGTGTGAACCCGAAAAACACCTATCGTGTCAAGGATATGTATCTTACCTAACATAATTTCATTATTTAATTGATGTCCACAATCAGTTATGTTATACTATCAATTATGTTTGTTTGCAGTATTCAATCATGAATGATTCATTTGCATTGAACTTTGAATAACACTATAATCTACTTAGGCATAGAAATCAACTTGTTTTTTATTTATAGTAAAAGCTACCCTGTGGAACTATTTGAGAAGGAAATGTTTTTAAGATAAAATCTTGAACAAAATTGAAAGTATATTACTTGGCTGCTCGTTTGAGTCTATTACATTGAGTGATCTATAAATATAACAAAGGACTAAGGAGGTGCGAATGCAGATTTTGTAATAAAGTATTTGAGCCGGTAAACTCTAGGATATTCATAAAGAAAGACCTGCCAGAACTGAAAGAAGTTGTGAAGGAACAGATCTAATAGAAACACAACAGAAATATCATTCATAATCCAATAGAACAAGAGAGGTTTTATTCTTCTGAATTGACTGAATGGACAATTTTTTTTCTTCATTATGAAGCTTTAAACTCATGTCATCATATATTCCGAAGGTGCGCAGGGAAGTTGTTCTATGGTGTTTATATCAAATTCTGTGAGTGTCCAATGACCTAACTAGCGTCTCGCCTGTTAATGGGAAAATATTTATATAACAACATATCTCTAGCAGAACAATAACTTCACAATCAATTTTCTATGCTGAAAATATTTCTATAGAGAAAAATGACTCGTTAACATAGTGTGTGCTTTCAAAGATGATTATCACTAGTAGAGGCAAATAGATAATTTATGCAAATAGCTCTAAACCCAAACAAAGCTGGAGAGCGAAATATGTACGATGGAATTGTGATGTGTGATGTGGAAACACATATTTCAGTAACAATTAGTTGAGAAATTCTTACTAAACATTTTAAAAAACCGTAACACGTGTTTCACTATGCAATGGCATCTTCCGCGTGTTCGCAATGTTACTAGTGATGCGGTTGTGTTTTTGTAAACTCTCAAGTGAAAATCCCACAATAAAGTGTTACTTCTAAACATTAATGCTGAAGAGCTATCAATATATTGGATACTGTCATAATTCCATTCAAAAAAACAACAGTCGGACCCCTTTATTATTCGTTCTCAACTGGTGGTATTGTTGTTCATTTACAACTTTTTAGTACAGTACAGTACAGGCTATAGAAATAGGCAATGTGGGATACTCATATGGCATAATAGTCCAGAGTAGAACAAATAAGACATTTATGACAATAAATTGATGGATGTAGTCGTTACTATGTGGTAGGAAATCATAATGAAAAGAGAAATGAAACAAATAAAAGTGGTAAAAACATAGAAAGTTTCATTTCTCTTTACATTTATGACAGATATCGCTTTTGTATTATATGAGTACAAGTGTGGACAATTTGAACTGGCGATTATAAAATAAATATTTGTGGCCCTTGAGAACATAATTTTGCATTTGAGTATTTTGTTTTGTTTTTGGTGATTTCAAAAGTTATAGCCAACTTGAATTTTTAATGTATGGTGGAACATTTCATAAAAATGGATAGATATGGAATGATTCCATTCTCAGATAAATAATTCAATGAATAATGTGAATTATTGCAGTACATTACTCTATTTTGTGAGCAATGAAAATCTAAAGAGACTACAGAAGCTTCAAAACAGATCCATGAGGGCAATATTAAGTTGTAATAAACGCACATCTGTTGAATACATGTTGGAAACACTGTCTCTTATGTCTGCTAAAATGACATGAATATGCTAATATTTATATTTAAAATTAAACACAATATGTTGCCAAATTATCTGAGTGATCAGTTAACCTACACAAGTAGTATTCATACATACTTCACTAGAAATAGAATAGGAAATTTTTATATCAACAGAGAACATATAGGTTATAACTCGTTGTATAGTTCTGGTCTGATTGCATTTAATAATTTGCCAAGTCATATAAAAACCTGTGATTCATTAAATTTATTCAAAAGAAAATGTAGTGAATATTTTTCAAGTGATAGTCATCAATAATTTGTCTTCTTTTCTAGTTTCTTTTTTATAAATGTGACTTGTCTCTATTTCTATATTTTTTTTGTTTTGTATTTTATAAGTGAATGAAAAGCATTATTTGTTAATAAAGAGTAATAATATAATATATATGTGACTTTGAGTGTGATTCATTAGAAAATATGGCATAAAGAATGTGAATCATAGTAAATAAAATTAAAATAACTTTTCATTGTGTATAAAAATAAATAATCCTCAGAGCGTAATTCACTAATTTCGTGTTTTCCTCAAAACCACTCCTTTAGACAAAAATCTGTGGACTGTTATTAATGGTTTTATATAATAATAACTCAATAAGAACTATGAGAAAAAATATCACTCAAACAACTGACAAATTTGTGAATATTGAATTTCAATTGACTGCCCCTATCCTATTTGATAACATATTATATAATATGTAGTGAATCATTACATAGTGTGGATGGAAAGATGTCAATTATTATTAAAAAAATGGTTGTATCGTTGAAAAATAAATTTTTTTTGTTGAACGCAGCACCACTATGTATTTTATTCTTTTCTGTTTCGTTTCATTTCGAAGATTCTGTTATAACAGATGAGTTCGGTTCAATTTTGGAAAACACGTTATTTGAAAATCATGTTATACGTAATGATCTTTTCAAAAAACCCCACAAGACGTTCAAACTAGTACATACACTGAATTATTATAATGTTATTTGAAGAAGGCATCTTCATTTCGGAATAATAGCTTCTCTCGCTATATATTGTCGGTTTATTTCGAAATTTTGATAAGAGGATTGGGTGTCTATTTCAGTATAAAGATGCATTAATTTTTATCAACGTATGGTATGATATTTCAATCGTCTGATTCTACCAAATACCATCGAGTACAACCAAGATATTCATTATTTTCTAAACATATGCAAATAAGAGGACAAACAAGATATCAGTCAATTCGTACCTCTTGCATCACCGTATAATTTTTATTTCATGTCCGAGGCTTCGAAAAGGTCAGCAGACTAAGACAGGTTTTTTCATTACCTTGAATATGCTGGATCAACAAATGATTAGGTTCATATAAAAAAAGAGAAATTAAACTTTCTATATTATTCACCACATTTATTTAAAACTATCGTTACTGCAGTTCCGTCCTATATGGACATTTTCAAACTATTACAATGAAATTCATTTTTA